TGTACAAGTGGACCTCACAGTAAGTGAATGATTTAGGCAGGCGCCAAAAGGCACTACCAGCTCCAAAGGCTGGGACTTTCTCCTGCCTCTTTGGATCCCTGAAACAGCAGAGCAGGTGATCACTACCCTACAGTGGGGAAGCAGAGTCTCAGCTGAGGGAGGGGACTCATCCCAGGTGACTGAGGCACTTGACCTTTCGGCCACACAGGCTGAGTCCTTTTTCCAAGTGCTCTGAGGCACCCTAAGGAGCAGCAGGACACAAGCCTCCCTGGGTACCTTAAGAGCACCCACATGGGGCTTTTCATGTGAAAACAGGGAGACAAACTGATCAGATTCAATGTCAATTTATCACAAAGCCCCATGGGATGGCTGCCACCCTGAACATTACAATAAGAATTCCAAATAACCATTATAGATTTGAGAAAAGGGCACATGTAAACAGAATCACGTTTAGTAAGAAGAACTGTGGTCTAAAGGAACAAACATGGATTCTGGAGTCAGACCTGGGTTTTGACCTTGGCTCTGACCCTTTGAGCTGTTTGACCTTGGGCAGGTTACTTGCCTTTCAGATCCTATTGCCTTCTTCTATAAAGTGGGCATCATGATATCTTTTTCATAGGTCGGCAGTGTGGATTAAATGAATAATATACATAAAGTATGCAGGAAATGCTCAATAAATATTTGCTTCAATTCTTGTTTGAGATAAGTTCAGATTAATTCAACAACAGAGGAAAAATGAGCTCAACAGAAGGGCTGGCTTCACAAAAGAGTACCAGAAAAAAATCAGGTAAAAATACTAATGGGCATTTCTTTTTAACTGTTCTATTTCTGTGGACTCATTGTATAAATGAAAATTGTTGCCAACTTGGAGGCAGGGTGAGGGGATTCTTTTCAATATTCTCAGCTCCTCAGCACTAGTCAGGGGTTTAATAAAGCATTGTGCTGTGGAGTGTGACAGGTGGGAAATAAAAAAATGATTAAAGATCTGGCTCTTAGAGTAACTCTTTTGTTCTCTGAAGGTGATTCTGTCTATTTGAGCTGTGTTTCTTGTCCTCACTAGTATTCTTGCTAATACCCAGATAAATTTTATTTGTAAAGGGAAGAAATGGCTTAAAAGAAAGCCTCCTTATCCTTATCTATTAAATGTTCGCATTGTGAGGCTATGCAATTTCTAAATTCTTCTTGGCTTGAATAATCTATGTGTGTGAAATAAATGCAAATTTAAAATTACAGATTTTTCCTATGGGGCCTGGGCAGTGACTCTCCGTGCCCAGCAATTCCTTCTTTATGTTGATTTCTGGCCATTCTAGTTCCAACAGAAGATCTTTTTTTTTTTTTTTTCAAAACAGAACTTTAAAATTTTTAAATGAAATCAGGAAAAGTTTCCTAGGTCAGAAGGAATGGTTTGAGTTTTTGGAGATCTCTTCAGAGTTTCAAGGGAAGGGATAAACCACTGGCTTTGCTTTGCTGTTTTCTGTTCAAACACTGCCACCCACTGCCTCCCCAGGTCTCCTCCCTGGCTGGGTGGCTACAGCTCTGGGGTCTGAAATTCAACCAGTTTCATTCCCCACTGCCCCTGTTTGTGTATCTGATTGTATCTATGTCTTTAGATCTTCTTAGTGCTTCCTCTGTTGTCTGTCTTCATGTCCATTTGTCTGTCTGCCTGACTTTTTGGCTCCTGCCATGTGGCTCTGACTTGAATAGAGAGGTTTGACTGCTGGCTCACAATTTTTTTAAGGGTTAAAGAGACTTCACATCATTTCCTCTACACTAGGGTTGTCACTGAGAAGTCTGAGGAAGGACAAAGGTGAAAATAAAAGGCCAAGGAAGAAATTTAATATGAAGTTCCTCAGAAATGTTGGCGAACACCCCTGCTCAGAGGGCGCCTCGAGGAGGAACAGGCTGACGCTGCATTGGAAGGAGCATCTGCGTGCCAGTGACTTGTTGGAAACAGGCTCCTCCTTGAGAGCCATTCATGGTGACCACAGTATCTCTGCACTGAAGAGTCAGCCTTCTGGAAGAATTATAGGGAAGGGTTTGCTGGAGCAGGGAGATCCCAGTTTTGCATTAGGCAAATGTGATTTGGAACCGCGATTCTGCTACTCAAACCAGTGTGACTTTCTGGGCAAGTCACTCAACCTCTCTAAGTCTGGATCGCCCCATCTGTAAGAAATGAGCAATGCTACCTTCTCTGTGGAGTTGTAAGAATCAGTGTGTTCTAAAAATACCAACTAGTCTCTTGTCTCTCCCTCTTCATCCCTCCCCCTTTTAGGGTAGCTCTTCACCTGCTATTTTTTGGGAGCTTAACTGTAAAAGCAATTTTGAACTTCAAGCACATTCACTCATAAAAGCCAGTAGCCCTGAGCTTTGTGAAGTCTGGTCCCAACAACGACCTACTTTACTATCCTGCCCGCCCCATTCATAGACTTCACTTTTAAGCCATGGAGGGGGTGGTTCCTCAGCTTTCTTCCAAACACTCCTCAGCTTCTCCACCCACATGCTTTTACTTCTTCCTCTTAGAATCTCAGACCTCCGCTTACAATCATCCAGCAAATCAATATCCAGGTGAAACACAAATCCAGCTCCTCCATTCCTTGATGATCTGTTTAGAACTGACTTCTCTCTCATCTGAATTCCTATTCTACTTCATCTAAACTGCTTATAGAGCTTTATAATAAAAGTCACAACATATTGCCTTTTGCGGCTGCTATAATGGGAATACCATATTCATATATACCTCACATTGTTTAATAACCATTTGTGGTCAAATAAATAATAATAGCTACATTTGTAGAGTGCATGTTATATGCCAGGCAGTGTGCTATGCCCTTTATATGCATTTCCTTGTCATTATCATGCAAAGTTAAAAGAAGGTATTATGATCCTCATGTTCTGTGGGGAGGTAAGGCTCAGATGGAATAAGTAACTTTCCCAAAGCCAAGTATCCCAAAAGTAGAGTAAGCATTCCAACCTAGGGCTGTATGATTTGGGGGTTTGTGTTCCCAGGAGAAAGAGTCAGATTTAAAAGAAGGATGGAAGGAGGGAGGGAGGAACGGAGGGAGGGAAGGAAGGAAGGAAGGAAGGAAGGAAGGAAGAAAGGAAGAAAGGAAGAAAGGAGGAAAGGAGGAAAGGAGGAAAGGAAGGAAAGAAAGGAAAGAAAGGAAAGAAAGGAAGAAAGGGAGAAAGAGAGAAAGAGAGAAAGAAAGAAAAAGAGAAAGAAAGAGAGAGAGAGAGAGAAAGATCAGGTACTGGGCACATTCATAACCTTAGGTTTGGGTGCCACCTTCATCAGTGTCTCAGGCCCACAGATGACCTAGAGACAGCCCTTTCTCTAACCAGGGAAAGTAGTCCCAAGAAAGCAAAAAAGCGAGTCCAAATTCGAGGTCCACTAAATGCTGCAGGAAGCATTTAGTGCCACTAGATGGCTCCCTCTCCCTTAGACAAAAGGGATGGCATTGAACGTGATAGCCAGCTGACCCAGCTGCGGTCAGTGGGCTCTGGGCGCTACTCCGCCTCCCTGAGGCTCAATCCACTTTGCCTAAATGCCTCAGTCGGCGCAGAGCCTGGCCAGCCTGGGGAATCCATAGGGCAGAGCCCGAAGTTTGGAGCAGTGGGGGAAGGACAAGCCACTCCAAGTTTTCACAGCCACATTCCGGGCTCCTGGGGTGGAGTTGCTGTGGTGTAGGCGCTAGTCTCATTTTGGGGGCTCCCTGCAGAAGCTCAAGATGCGTGTGGGGAATGGGGGGGTGACAGAGAAATAAACCTCTCAGGAGAAGTGGCAATTCAATTGGGATAATCCAGAAGCCCATCCCCTAAATGCCAGCCTGGCCTGCTCCAGGCCCTGAGACCAACGCAAAGGACGGCAATGAAGGTGGCCCACGGCGACCTCACTTCGCCCAAATGGAGAGAGGCTTCTGCAGCAGCCTATTGGTGTTCCCGGGGGGCATGGATGGGGTTGGAGGTGAGGACTCAATGCTGCATTTTAAAAACGCATCAACAACAGTGCCTTTATAGTGACATTAAGTGAAAAGAGGCAAGTTACTAAACCGTAGCTATTACTACAGCTACATAAAATAACAGATACGCTGTGAAAACTTGAGAGGGGACAGGGAGGTAGTACAAAGGCGTGATGATCCTCCCTCTCCTTTTTTAGTTTTGTTGATTTTGGTATTTGTGTATTTAAACGTGAAGAAAAAAGGTGAAACGAATGCAAACTGAGTTATAAAACAGTTTCAGAGGCTGCAGCATGCCCTTAAAGGAGGTGTCAGAAACAGGACAAGCAGCTGGACCTGAATGCTCTGGATGGAGAAGCCCTAGCTCAGCGCCGCCGAATATACTCCGGGTTGGAGCCCCCAAAGGGGGCAGAGGCGAACTTAGGGGCCTCTGAGCGGTCGTCCACTTTGTATATGTGAACATTTTCCTATCGCGACCACCACCGCCCTCTCCATTCTGGAATTCCGCGGAGAGCCCCCCTAGAAGGCGTCGGACTGGGTCTTGGCGGGAACCAGACAGCTCTAACAAGGCCTCGCGGCGCAGGGGAGGCCCAGCAGCAGTCGGGGAGAGGCGGCCGGGCATTGTCTCAGCCCTTCGGGTGGGGTCCTGCAGGGGGAGGGGAGGCGGTGTGTCCTCGGGACCCGCCCCGCACCCTCCCAGCGGACGCGTACATCAGCGCGTCCGATCGCCCGGGCTTTGTGAAGTGTCGCGAGGCACCACGGAAACCCAAAGGAACGCGGAGAAGGGAGCAAGGGTGGTCGCGGATTCTCGGGCCTCGCCTTCTGCTCCCTCTCGGACCCCGACCCTGCAGCAGGACCTGTCGGGAATTGTAGTCCCAAGGCGGCGAATGCGCGCGGCGCGAAGTACGCGGGCAGCCGCTTGTCCCCGCCTCCCCGTAACCTGCTAGTGCGAGGTGGGGAGGGCAGGGGAGGAGCCGTCGGACTGGTGATTGGCCGAGGCCGCCTTTGGCCCCGCCCACGTCCCCTCCCCAGTTCCCGGCTTCCGACTCCAGCGCCCAGCTAGCCAAGGCTGCGATTGAGCGAGCGCCCCTGCAGCCGCGGCTGCCGCGAGCACCAGCAGCTCCCGCGCCGCGGCGAGACCGAGAAGAGACTGACCGACCGACGGACCCTTCCAGCCGAGGCATCCCAGAGGAGTGGGTGATGGTGGGGCGGGCGGTGGGTTTATTCTTCCCGAGCTGGGACATTTATCTCACGGCCTCGGTTTCTCTGGGAGGCGCACAAAAGGGCAGGGGAGCGCCTGGGGTCTGGCTGCAGGGGACGCAGCAGGAGTTACGGTTGGCATTAGAGGCAGCCATCGAACTAAACTAGGGCCAGAATCGGATCCTCTTTGTACGCCCACGGAACGCCTTGCTGTTAGTAGGCGTTAAATGTGTGTTCGTGAGATTGCAAACAACTGGGGTCAGAAGGCGGTTTGGTTGAAGGGGTTTCACTCTTAGCACATAGTAGGTGCCCAGCCGCACTCATCGAGGTGCAATGAATGGCTGGAAGGCTGGGAGAGGGCTTCTCTGGCTGAGGGCCGGTCCTTCCCGAGTCCCTAGATCGGCGTTGTCCCCGGCCCCCACCCACCACCCATATACTCATCTTCCATCTATCTCGCCTCCGGGTTGGGATTTGCCCGGCCGAGACCTGACCCGCCGGCCGTTTTACCCGCGCCGCTAACGGATTGGAGGTCTGGAGACAATTCGCCTGCCGCCTCTGAGGCACCTGCCTGAACCACAAAGGCCGCCTGCCGCTCTCAGCCCAGAGTGGCCGCCTGGCTGAGTCCCAGCGCCTGAGCCCGACGCAGGGGCGCTCTCCGCCCCTAGGATCTCGGTGGGCGAGAGACCACGACACCCCAGCCTGGGGAGGGGGCAGGAATCCGAGCTGGAGAGAAGCTGGGATCGGGAAGTGGGGGTGGGGGGGAGGCCTCCGTTTAAGCGAAGATGAGATGGGAAAGCTGGGTGGGGAGAGGTTACTGGGTTTGGGAGGAGGGGGAGGTGGATACCCGTGTTTGCGGAGGGAAGGGAAGGGGGCGGGGGGCGGGTCTGAGGAGGAAGGGAAGGAGCTTGGTGCAGGTGGCGCGAGGCAAGTCTGGGGCTGATGTAGAATGAGGGGAGGAGAGATGCCGGAGGGTGGAGACCGCCAGGGTTTGAGGAGGCCCGACGTGAGGGAGGAGGGACCGGCGCGGTGCGGGGGAGGGGTCTCTCTGGGGAGGGAGGTCTCCCTAGGGAGGAAGGTCCCCGTGAGGGGAGGGGCAGGCATCTGGGAGGCCGGTTTCGGGTCTGAAGACCCTCAGCTCCGGACGTGGGGCCTGGCGGTCCAGGTGGCTGGCTGGGCGTGGCCCTTGGATGGGCGACAGACCCAGGATGGCGAATCCGGGACCGGGCTGGGCTGTCCCCGCGAGGAGCTTTGTCTCCGGGCTTGACACAAGCCCACAGGGACTCGTTCAGGGTTTGTGATAATCCGCAGCGCCACAGGCACACCCTTTTCCTGGCGGAGCTGAAAAGCTTGGTCCAGTGGCAGATGCTGCCAGGGAGACGGAATGAGGGACGTCTCCGGCCGGGGAGACCGTGAGAACAATAGCCTTCACCGGTATCCGCCTGACGACCCATAGGGCCCCCAGAACTCAAGTGTGCAGTTTTCTGGTGCAGAAAATGCTCCCGGAGAAAACTCAGGGCAGGTGCTTCTCTCTTGGGGGTTTTGTTGGGTCTCCAGGCCCGGTCGTTAATTCCCTGGTGAGAGTCGCGAGTCTCCGAAAGACTATGGGGTGGGCAAACAGCCGCCACCCCCAGCTTTGGTGCCTTTTGGCTGCGGCGCCTCTGCCAGGCCCTTGCACTTGACCAGAAGCCGAGACGTGGCGTGGCTGCCGGGCAGCAACCTGGAGGTGGCCTCGGTGCTGGGCGGGCCCCTTGAGCAGAGGGCTTTGTCTGCCGAGGAGGCCCACAGCGAAGGTCCGCTGTGTGTTCGTAGAACGAGCAGTCAGGATCGGTGCGCATCGTGGTAAAAACGGGAGAATTCGTCTTGCAGATTGCCCAAGTAGGCGGCCCCTGGTTTTAGGGCCTGGAGCCAGGGGACCACAGCTCCTTTTGCCAGTGACCACACCCAAGCCAGTGGGTCCCCTCCTTTGCAGATTTCGCCCATATTGTCTGCTGACCTAAGATGAGGACTCTTCTGTGATAGGAGAGGGCTGCTTGCCCATGGGAAAGCAGACGAAATGGAAACACAAATCAGGGATTCAACAGAGCTTTCCACACACTCAGTCTTATTGGATGCCTAAGCATCTGCAAGCTCAACCTCTTGACATGTGAAATGACAGCCCAAACAAGAATTCTGATTTGCAGGTGTCCTTTGATACTTGTTTAGCTAATACTAAAAGTGACTCTTTAGTATAAGATTTATACTTTTAAATTGTCATTCATTAAAAAAAAAAAAAAGGCATTTTTATTCCAAGAGTGGAGGTTGCTTGGCTGTGGTTGAAAGGACTAATGGTTGTGACTTATATTTGCCATTAATTAATGAGTATGTTAGATCTCTTAACCTAGCCTTGAACCTCAAGATTTTCTTTCATAACCAGGTTGGTGACATAGCTGAGGGGCTGTGACATGACTGTTGGGTCTTGCCCAGAAGGTATGGTAGTTGCCAGTGTGAAGGCCACCTATCTAGGCTGTACTGAGTGGCCCCAGGAAAGCAGCAATAGGCTGTATCTTGCTAGTTTTCAAGGGATGGCAGTTTGAGAAGGTACTTCTCAGAATTTACAAAACTTATCTGGAAAGACTAGTTGGAATGTTATTTATTAGGTGTTCTTAACTTAATGGACCTATGTCCAGAGTAGGTGAAAATCAGGAATTCCAATATTTGAAAACCTGAGGTCTGAAGCTGAAGGTGTTTTCTCACCAAAATTGCTCCAATAGGAAATGTGTTTTCATGGCATTGTGCAAGGGGATAAGTTTCAGGAGAGAATGTTTTGTTGGTTTATTCTTCATGAATGTTATGTATTTGTTCAAGGGTATAATCCTATTAAAGTGCTGTGTGAACCTCCAACCCAATCTTTCTACATGGGGAGACTGTAGAGGAGACCAGTCCATTTTACAGGGAAGATGGAGGGAAAGTAGCATCTGGCACCAATAAGTGCTCCATAAATGTTAATTATCACCATCATCATATTCTCCCTCAGAATGTATGTCCACAAAAACAACATTTTGATTCCCTGTTAACCTTTCATTCCAAGGGGCCAGAACAGGTTGCTGGGGTTGTCAACAGTGGGAGCAGAATGAATGGTTAGGACCTCTTTCCGAAGCTCCCCTCCTCACAAATAGTAGAAATAGCTCTGAGCTGAGTCTGAGCCTCTTGAAGCACAGCTGCAGAAGCAGCTGAGAACTTACAGAGTTAAGAATGTTCCTTCCAGAAGTGCTCAGACCCCCGGCTTTGCAGAATCATCCTCATGTTTGAAGTTGGCCTGGCTTCTCACACTGCTCCTCCACTAGCTAAAGGAACAATTAGACACCTGTAACAGGTGAGGTGCTGTTGTTCTGTGGCTGCTCTGTTCTTGGTATGGGAAAAAGCAGTCATGTTTGGTTGATGGCAAATTGTTGAGAATAAAATACCTCATGCTTTCTGGCTAACAAATTCAGCACTACAGAATTGCTTATTTAACAAACACTTTCAAATCACTCTGTGTGAGGGGTTGTTCTAGTTCTTATGAGTTAAGTACTAATATTATCCCCAGTTTACAAGTGAAGCAGCAGATGTACAGCTAGAGGAGTATCAGAGGCAAGCTTCAAACCCAAGGAATCTGCTTAAAATCTGTGTAAGTTGGGGTTCTCCAGAGAACAAAACCAGTAAGGATTGGTTTATGGGATTGTGAGGGCTGGCATGTCCCGTATGTGGAGGACAGGAGGGCAGGCTGGAAACTGTCAGGCAAGAGCTGATGCTGCAGTCTTAAGGCAGAATTTCTTCCTCAGGGAAACCTGTTTTTCTCTTAAGGCCTTTCAATTGAATGTATGAGGCCCATCTGCATTATCGAGAAAAGTCTCCTTTACCTGAAAGCCCACTGATTCTAGATGTTAACCACATCTAAAAAGTACCTTCACAGCAACACATATGGATGAGTGTTTGAATAACTGGGTACTATAGTCTAATCATTACAGGGTCCATGCTTTTAAACACAACCCCAAGCTACGAAGCTTATTTCTTGGGTGTAAGGTTTACAATAAACTAAAGAGTTTAGCAATGGACTATTCCATCACAAAATGGTGCACCTCACCTCATTTAAGATAGGATTTGACCCTCATTTTTTATCCATATAGTTTCTAGCACAAAATATTGCTCAGAGGAAGCATTCAATACATAAGAATGACCAACTGAATGATTTGGATGTTTTACAGGATTTTCCAGCCATTGAGACCTCTGGTTCCCCATTTAAGTTTAAAATCATTTGGCCCAAGTGAGTTTGAGGTTTTATGAATAACTAGATTCTCTTGAAAAAAGGAGAATATTCTCATTCTGAATTGAGCACTATATCATTCCCCACCCCCAACTTCTGTCCATTTTTATAGGCTCAGCAAAGTTTTGTGGGTCTGTTGCTGCCTCAACTCCTTGTGAATGTGTCTCCCACACATTAGCAGTGCCCAGTACTCAATCACACCATCTTTGTGTCATTTCAGTGTCCATTTACAGGCAGCTCCTTTGTTGATTTCAAGTCTGCCATGGGCTCGTGCTAATTTCTCAGGCCTCGGTTCTTTATTCTCCGGGCTTTTGTCTGGCCCTGTCCTTCCCTTTGTCCTTCTGCAAATCATGATCCACTATTGATGGAGAAGTCACCTCCTTTCTCATTTTTACCACTTCAACCAGATTTCTGTCTTTGTGGATCAATAAGTTCATTCTGTTATAAAATTCAAACATAGCCCCCAATTTTTTTCATTTAATGTCTTTTTCTCCTCTTTCCAACACATGGGAAACTCAGCTTTAATGAAGTGCCTTGAATTAAGTTTGCCATATTGTCAAGTATGTGGGCAATACACATACACGAAACAGTGACTTTTTTGGGGGGGTGAGGGTGTAGTTTTAAAATATTTTAATTTTTTAAACTTTTAGTGAAGTATGACAAATATACAGGAAAGTATACAAATCATAAGTGTATAACTTAATGATGCTT